TTTTCTAACTAGTATTTAAAAATTGAAACAAAAAAAATTTTTTTAATAAAAAGATAAGCAGGGCATCTGGGTGGCTCAGTGGGTTAAGTCCCTGCCTTCAGCCAAGGTCATAATATCAGGGTCCTGGGATCAAGCCCCACATCAGGCTCTCTGCTCAGCAGGGAGCCTGCTTCTCTCTCTCTCTCTCTCTCTCTGCCTGCCTCTCTCCCTACTTGTGATCTCTGTCAAATAAATAAATGAAATTTTTAAAAAATAAAAAAGATAAGCATACACTTAACATAAGACCCTGCAATTGCACTCCTGGGTATTTACTCAAGAGGGGAAAATCTACACAGTGACTTCTACCTGAATGTTCAGAGTGGCTTTATTCTTCATAGTAGCCAAAAATGAGAACTAGTCACACAGTGGAATAATACTCAGCAATAAAAAGCAATTACTGATACATGCAATAATGTACATACATGTAAAAAATATACATATTATGCTGAGCTAAAAAAACTTTTGCAGAATGACTGTGGTTAAACACACAGTCATTCTCATACATTGCTTGTGGGAATCCAAAATGGTATAATCCTTATGGAATGTGATTTGACAATATCTAACAAAAACTACACACACACTTACCCTTCAATACAGTAGCCTCACTTCCAGGAACTTAGCCTAAAGAAACACTCCCCAAATATAAAAATATATATTCATAAGGTTATTCACTGCAGCATTATTTTAACTGCAAAATATTGGAAACAACCTAAATAATATCTATACATAGGATATCGCCTTCAGTAAACTATGGTATATTCACATAATGTAAACTATGTAAAAAATAAATGAGAAAGGGGCTGGGGAACAGCAAGGCTGGTTACTATGAGAAAGGGGGGAAATGGGATGGAAAGGATACAGAAGGGAAGTGCATCTTTTGTATAATTTGAACTTGTTTTCTACAACTTCAAAAATAAAGACAATCAGAATGAGAAGGAGCGTTAAAAAAAAAAAAACTGGGGGCACCTGGGTAGCTCAGTCAGTTAAACTAATGACTCTTGATTTCAGTTCAGGTCATGATCTCAGGGTCTTGAGGTCAAGCCCCAGGTTGGGGCTCCCAACTCCCAGCTCCATCATGGAGCCCACTTTTTTAAAAAGTTGGGGGGAGATGCACACTGGTGGCTTACTCAGTTAAGCATCCGACTCTTGGTTTTGGCTCAGGTCATGATCTCAGGGTTGAAGACCAAACCACACATCAAGCTCCATGCTCCACACTCAGTGGGGAGTCTGCTTGTAATTCTCTTCCTCTCCCTCTGCTCTTCCCCCTGCCCCACCCACCACCCTCGTCCCCCTTCTGGGAGCCCCTTCCCTTGCTCACACGCAAGCCTGCGCACACGCTGAAATAAGTCAATCTTTTTTAAAAACCTGAAAAAAAAAAAAGAACCTAATTTAATTTCAAATGAATACTATAACTATCTTATGCAGAAAGTTGGAGTGGGGAGTGAAGAGGAAAGGGAAAGCAAGAAAGGAACAACAGAAGGCTGATTCAAGTAACTTAAGAATACAATATTTATTTCTTCATTCTCAGAGTTGGGCAGGATGGTTGTAAAACAGTGAAGAACTACATATAAATTCTCCACTTTAAGTTTATTATGGTAAAATGGGCAAAGTGACTCTGAAATTTTTTGAGATGTATTGTAAGATAGAACAAATGAGTAAATGCACTGATAATGATGGGAGCCACGGTTTCTCACAGCATAAAAAGGGACATAAAAATATGAAACAGTAAGTGCAGAGCAAGAACCCTGTAGACAGGGAGTGAAGCTGGAATACTGATATAAACTCATGATTTCTAAACTATGTATATGCATGTTGCTATAAAAGTGTTCAGGTACAAGTATGTTGGTGTATGCACATATTTGTGTTAAGCACACATGTTTTACTAGCTCTGTCCACTGAAAGGGTCAACCCATGGGCAATGAGGACACCTCCCACCCCCACAGGATTCTAGTCTCTAATACTATTCTTCCTCAAAAGGATAGGAAGACTGATTAAGAATTCCACTTTCGGGGCGCCTGGGTGGCTCAGTGGGTTAAAGCCTCTGCCTTAGGCTCAGGTCATGATCTCAGCGTCCTGGGATAGAGCCCTGCATCAGGCTCTCTGCTCAATGGGGAGCCTGCTTCCTCCCTCTCGCTCTCTGCCTGCCTCTCTGCCTGCTTGTGATCTCTCCCTGTCAAATAAATAAATAAAATCTTAAAAATATATATTTAAAAAATAAATAATTTTAAAAATTAAAAAAAAAAAAAAAGAATTACACTTTCTGGGGCACCTGGGTGGCTCAGTGGGTTAAGCCTCTGCCTTCAGCTCAGGTCATGATCTCAGGGTCCTGGGATCCAGCCTCGCATTGGGCTCTCTGCTCAGCATGCAGCCTGCTTCCCCCTCTCTGCCTGCCTCTCTGCCTACTTGTGATCTCTCTCTGTGTGTCAAATAAATAAATAAAATCTTTAAAAAAAAAAGAAAGAAAAAAAGAAAGAACTCTACTTTCTATCGCTTAAATATTTTTTTTTTTAAAAGAGTTCCACTTTCTAAACATAGGACGACTGGAGTATCAAAATAATTAGGTAGAGTAATGAATTTATCAATTGAAAACCTAGGAATTCATGAGTCCAAACTGATAGGGCTCTTGATTACAGAATAATGTCAAGGGCTGACTTGTAGTATAAAGGGAACGCTGGAATCAAAAAATAACCATTTTGGAGCCAACCCAGTGAAAAATAAAATCAGGTAAGAATCAGCAATGAATGTTAAGTCTAGAGCAAATTGTGATGAGAACCATGGTATCTGCATTGTCTCCCCACAAATGCTTATTGCATGGAAGGAAAATAAAGTATACAGTGGAGAAATCTGGCAACATCCTGGCCAAATAATCAATATTAACATCACAAAAAGGGACAAAAGAAATCATGTGTCTCCAGAAGTTGGACATCTTTCTTGGGATATCACATCACCTACACAACATTCCAGCCAAGAATGCATAACCTCAAACTAATCACAAGGAAACTTCAGAGAAACATAAAATGAAGAACATTCTATTTAAAGGGGGGACGGGCTGTGTCCTTCAAAAATGTCAATGCCATAAAAGACAAAGGCTATGGAAATATTCCAGGAAAAAGGAGGCTAAAGAGAAGTAAATGAAGTACCCGACCCTAGACTGGATTCTGTACAGGAAGCAAAGGAAATGCTGTTAACAGACTTTATTAGTTCAACTGACCAAACTGGAAGATAGACCATACATTTGTGTCAGAGTCCATTTATGAAGCTGATAACTGTACAACAGAGAATGACCCTATTCTTAGAGAATACAGAAGTATTAGCAGAAAGAAGCTCAATATATGTAACTTGCCCTCAGTTCAGAAAAGAACTATGCATGCATCTAGAGAGAGGGGAAGAGAGAGAGCGCGCAGGGATGCAAATGATAAACAAGTGGGTGAATCTGGCTAAAGGATATCTAGATGTTTTTTGTACTCTATTTTTATAACTTCTATAAACAGAAATGACTTCCAAATAAAGAAGTGTTTCTTTTTTTTTTTTTTTAATAAATAGCATGGAGATAGTTCTCTACTATGTTCAGAATATAATGGGTATGTATATACCACAATTAATTGAAGGATTTTACAGGGAAACAGCAAGAGCTGAAACCGGAGGTTTAGATAGATTCCCTGATAAAGGAGTGTTTCAAATGTCAGAGAAGGGAGTTTTTATTTTTTTCTGTAAGCCAGGGAATGGAAACACAAAGCTTAGAGCAGAACAGAGGCTTAATTAAAAGGGACGTACTTAAGGAGATTTTCTAAGCAAAATTTCAAGTGCTAGAAACAGTAGATAAAAGGGAATAAAGGGACATTTGAACAAATATAAGCAAGAAACTATGGGATCTTGGCCTAGGAAACTAAGGTATTAGCACAAAGTGGTACAAATACAGTAGACAGGAAAACAGATAAGGCCTGTTTACTAAATAACTAATTTATCAAAGGGGCGGGAGCGGGGCAGTTCAAAGATGACTTGGATTTCAAGCCGAGCTAACCAGAAGAATGACAGTATTATTAACAAAAAGAAATTTAGCTAAGCAAAGGGTAACTGCTTTCCTGAGTATCAGACAACTTTTTCTATTCTCATTTCTCTTATTCTGGTGCAACAGAAGTTGGGACAGGAGTTATTATATGAGATATTATATGCCAGCACAAGCAATCTGGGGAAACTAGTCTTCACAAGGTGAAATAGAAAAAATAAATGGGATTGATTCAGATGTTGAATAAACACCATTAAGTGGGTGCCTGGGTAGCTCATTCAGTTAAGTGTCTGCCTTCAGCTCAGGTCATGATCCCAAGAGTCCTGGGATGGAGCTCCATATTGGGCTCCCTGCTCAGCAGGGAGCCTGCTTCTCCCTCTCCCTCTGCCTGCTGCTCCCCCTGCTTGTGCTCTCTTAAATAAATAAATAAAATATTAAAAAAAAAAAAAACCATCATTAAAGTATTCACACGTAAGGGAGAAGTGGGTAGGAGGGTAGTAACTCACATTAAACTGTAACATTTAGTTCCCTTCTTCCCCAAAAAAGTTATGTTTGTATATATATACACATATATATGAATATAGATATATATTCACTTATTTCAAGACCATTCAGTCATTCAACTAATGTTATCATTAAAGAGAAAAACATGAGGGTGCCTGGGTGGCTCAGTCAGTTAACCATCTGACTCTTGGTTTCTGCTCAGGTCATGATCTCAGGGTCCTAGGATCGAGCCCCACATTGGGCTCTGCGCTTAGTGGGGAGTCTGCTTAAAGATTCTCTTCCTCTGCCCCACCCACTCTCTCTCTCAAATAAATAAATAAAACTAAAAAACAAAAGAGAAAAACATGAAATATGACACAAGTTTAAGGTTAAATCATAAAAGGAATGTCAGGATCTTCAGGGGGGGACACAGAAAATCACAAAGGATCAAGTCAAAGTAAAAGTGAATTACCTGGCTAACCAGTCAAGTGATGTTCAAGTAGGAGCTTATTTTTATTGGTCTGTGATTCCACTGTTCAGCAAGGATATTGATCCTGAAAACAAACAAAAAAAGGGGAGGAGGGTGTTGAATTTTATTGCCCTTTCTTAATGTAAGCAGTAGTATGAGTCACACACAAATTAACCTTCCCCACCGTTCCCTTCTCTGGACATATGAAATAAGCAAAAACAAAACATGCTATATCAAGTATAAGGCCTCTTCCTAGGAATATGAGGTGATGCCTTATTTTGCCATATAATACTGTTTCTGCTTCTAAGTCAGGTATAGCATATATAATACACCCTGTCACCATTGATAAACATGGATAATACAAAACAGCAGTTGAGGAAACCAACTCCAAGAGTCCTGAAAAGTAATCAAACAGATAAGTAATGTGAATTTGGGGTGTTCCCACCTGTCCAAAAGGAATGCTCAACAAATAACAACTAAAAACAATATTGAGGGGCACCTGGGTGGCTCCATCGGTTAAGCATCTGCCTTCGGCTCAGGTCATGATCTCAGGGTCCTGGGATGGAGCCCCGCATCAGGCTCCTGCTCAGCAGGGAGCCTGCTTCCACCCCTCTCTCTGCCTGCCTCGTCTGCCTACTTGTGATCGCTCTGTCAAATAAATAAATAAAATACTAAAAAAAAAAAAAAAAAAGAATGTCCAAGTATACCCAAATAAAAAATAAGAGAAATACAATCATTAGTTTTAGTGTTTAAATGAATTCAATGTTTAGGGCGCCTGGGTGGCTCAGTGGGTTAAGCCTCTGCCTTCGGCTCAGGTCAGGATGTCAGGGTCCTGGGATTGAGCCCCACATCGGGCTCTCTGCTAGGCAGGGAGCCTGCTTTCCACCCTCCACCCCCCTCCTGCCTTTCTGCCTACTTGTGATCTCTGTCTGTCAAATAAATAAATAAAATCTTTTTGGAAGGGAGGAGTCAAGATGATGGAGAAGTAGCAGGCTGAGATGACATCAGGTAGCAGGAGATCAGCTAGATAGCTTATCAAACCATTGCGAACACCTACAAATCCAACAGGAGACTGAAGAGAAGAAGAGCAACAATTCTAGAAACAGAAAATCGACCACTTTCTGAAAGCAACAACCACAGTCGCCAAACTGTGAAAAGAGCCAAGATGCCTTTCAATAGACGAATGGATAAAGAAGATATGGTCCATATATGCAGTGGAGTATTATGCCTCCATCAGAAAGGACGAATACCCAACTTTTATATCAACATGGATGGGACTGGAGGAGATTATGGTGAGTGAAATAACTCAGGCAGAGAGAGTCAGTTATCATATGGTTTCAGTTACTTGTGGAGCATAAGGAATAACACAGAGGACATTGGGAGAAGGACAGGAGAAGTGAGTTGGGGGATATTGGAGGGGAAGACAAACCATGAGACTGTGGACTCTGAAAAACAAACTGAGGGTTTTGGAGGGGAAGGGGGGAGGGGTTGGATGAACCTGGTGGTGGGTATTAAGAAGGGCACGTATTGCATGGAGCACTGGGTGTGGTGCATAAACAATGAATCCTGAACACTGAAAAAAATAAAGTTTAAATAAATAAATAAATAGAATCTTTTTTAAATAAATAAATAATCAATGTTTCATTACTTGAACTTTTATGGTATCTAATTTAATTAGAGGAAGGTGAAGAGCGGAAAGCAGGCAGAACTTCTGTAAAGCCCAAGGTTTCCTGGCCTAGTTTTAATTCAAGTTTCATTTTAAAAATGATTCTTTTGTTGTTGCTCCTTTTTATGGGGGAAGGACAAAGATTGCTGGGTAGGGTTAGTACCTACAGAACAAGAGAGGTGGGTAGGAAAAGGTATCTGAGTCAGAATGTACCTAGTACCATACACAGGAGACAAGCACTACTGCCTAGTGTGGAAGGCTGGCAAGAGAACCCCTATTAATACAAGTATTACACTGCTGATGAGAGCTACCCTGAGTGCTAACCCAAGCTAACCTGTACCCGTAACTCCCTAGATCCCAAAGAAACATCATCTACAAAAATTTCCCCTCCCAGGAAGTGTGGAGCTGGACTACAGTGGTCCCCAGAAAGTCATAGACCAATGACTGGCTTGTCTACCAGGACCTTGCAAGGGGTAGATAAGCTAAAAAAGTACTACACACTAGGGTATCTGGCTGGCTCAGTCAGAAGACCATTTGACTCCTGATCTCCGGGTTGTGACTTTGAGACCCATGCTGAACGTAAAGATAACTAAAAAAATAAATAAATAGAACTTTAAAAAACAAATAATTAGAAGTACTATAAAGTATGGGACCCAAAAAACTGCAATTAACTTATCTAAAACCAAGATTCTGCAAAGCCAACAGTCCTTGCAGATTTCCTGGGACTATATTTTTTACCTTTAACAAAAATAAGCATATTCTTATGCCTTTTCATAATTTGGATTTCAGTCCATCACACAAACAAAAGTCACACTAAAACAAACTAAATGACATGTCCCCAAAACATTAAATATGCAGACGGGGGAGAGGTTAATTTTTCCACTAGAATTTACAAAAAATGTGACTGGTGGGATCCACATTATCAAAGCCTACATCAGGAGAAATCTAATGCAGAAGGAAAAAAAATCAAACTGAGCTCTGTTAATAGCTAGTCTGAGAAGATGTGCCTCGAGGCCAGAACAAAGAATCAAACTGGGGGAGGGGAGTTGACAGAGAAGAAAATCCAAACTATAAAATGCTGATGCTTGGAAACACCAACTGGGCAAAAAGAGGCCCCCAAATATCATGAATATGTTTTTCTTCTGCTGCTGAAAATGGAAGGGGGCAAGGACTCTACTATTAGTCATATTAAACTCATTGTTCCTGCCATGATGCTGTGGGTAGTGTTCCCTGGGACTCCCTCCTAGTTCCCTAAAAATTGTAGAGATGGGGAATCACCCTCTTTGGGAAAAGTCTGCTCTTTGCCCACCTACCTCCAAAACACTACAGAATAAGTTTACCCGCCAATTTCAAGGTAAGGGTTACATAATACTGGTGTAAATGAAACATTATTCTGCAGTTGAGATTATTTATCAAATATATAGTTGTTGGGTTCTTTTTTCCCCCAAAACTGTAACAACAGATTTTACTTGCAACACTCAACCGCAACAAATCTATAGCTAAGCTGAAAGGCAAAAACAAAATGTAAATTAAAAATTTTATGGAAATTTAAAATTATTTCTAGAAGTGCCACTTTTTTAGAGCTGTGTAAACTTAGCTTTAAAAAATTTTATTAAGAAAAATATTTTTACTAGTACTTAGTCCATTATCATGTGCTTTAGTAAATAAGTAAAAATGTATTTGGTACCCAAGTGTACACTGGTAATATATTGATGACAAACTTTTTTTTAAGATTTTATTTATTTGTCAGAGAGAGAGAGGGAGAGAGAGCGAGCGAGCACAGGCAGAGTGGCAGGCAGAAGCAGAGGGAAAAGCAGGCTCCCTGCCGAGCATGGAGCCTGATGTGGGACTCGATCCCAGGATGCTGGGATCATGACCTGAGCCAAAGGCAGCCGCTTAACCAACTGAGCCAACAAGGCGTCCCGATGACAATTTTTTTTAAACACCATCATCTTTTTGACAAGGGAGGGCAGGAATTATTTCAAATTACAGCATATACATGTCTAGTAAAGTCAGGACAGGGTTAAAAAAACTAACAATGTATTACTACTTATCTCTTGCTATATACTAGAAAGGACTAAGCTGATTCATACTAATTTATTCTACATAGTCATTTAGTAAATTACAATAAATGTTTAGTTCCATAAAGCATCAAAATAAAAATTTAAATGATGCGGTGAAAATAGAAGCCTTGCTTTCAGAAAACCTATGTTTTGGAAGTCCAGCTTCTTGAAGGAACTTTATATGAAACATTTAAATCAACTGAAGGCTTCCTGTGTACCTAGGAGAAGCCAAGTGTTGCACTGGCCTACAGAAGTATGAGCAAAATAGGGTACCTATCACTAATTAGAAAAGGAGAAGCAGGTATCAAAAGGCCAAAATGCAACTATGTTCGTTCAGCAAAAATGTGCTAAGCATCCATTCACTACATGGCACCAGACAACCAGGGATACAAGGAAGGACCAGAACACAGAGTCCAATGAGAATATTAAGAGAGAGCAAAGAACTACCTTGCCTTTTTCGTAGGACCGATGTGGTCACTGTAAAGCAAGACAAACCCATAACTATTTACTTCAGCAAAGAGAGAAAGACAATTAATGTAATTCAAATGTACACATAATTTCTACAATTATTTTCCATGGTTATCATAACTAAAATGCCTTTCTTTATAACAAAACAAAGGCAAAGAAGAAAAAAACTTTTGCAAAATGTTGGCCATTTGTGTAAAAATTACATGAGATATAGGAAATATTAATGGGATATAAAGGTTGCTGAAAATGGAAGCTATTTTTAACTCAAAATATCCAGGAAACTATGCCATACACTTGGCTTACACAACAATACTATCTACTGATGAACAATGGCAGTAAATATAACCATTCTGCATTTTTTTAAATTACCTTTATATTAAGGAAAAAACTAAAAAATCCAGTTGTCAGACCAGTTTATTATCAAGGCCCATATCTTTGGCTGAGTTGTACTTAGTACTAACACAGTTACTAAAACAGTCATGCAAGGAAGTCGCTTGCTGGTGCTTGTTCGGCCTCCCTCTCCCCGCCCCCCAACCACACCCCCACCCCCCACCACGCGCCACCCCCTCTTGGAAAAACTGCATGCAGTGCTGCACGATCACACAAAATAAATACAGGAAAGGGGGTGGGAGGATTGGGTGGGGAGCTGAGCCAAGCTCTGGGCTCCACCAGTGGAAGGCGTTCCACAAGAATTGCTACAGGGTCAAAAGTTTACAGTGGTTTCAATTTCACCTTTTAGCAGCCAATCAGAAAACAGAGACTGCACGCTCACCCCCTCAGGCTGCAAATGAACATTAACTCATTGGCCACCAGGACTGCATATATTCCTTTTCTTGTTAGGCTTTCATTTTTTTATTTTTTGAGGGGAGTGGGGAGAGGCAAAGAACA